TTTTATCAGTGTTTGCTCCATGTATTTTGGAGCTCTTTTGTTGGGTGAATATGTTTGTAATTGCTATATTTTTCTGGCAGATTGACCTTTATATCAGTTATGTATAGTGATTCTTTGATCTGAAGTATACTTTGTTTAATATTAATATACCCACTCGAACTTCTTTTTAACTGGGGTTTTTAGACATTTTTTAATGTAATGCAATTTTTAAAAATATAGTTGACTAAAATTCTACCACCTTGCTATTTTGTCCTGTTTGTCCTATGTGTTCTTTGTTTCCTTTTGTTCTTTTTAACTCTTATTTTGAGTTGATTATTTTTTTGTTTCTATTTTATCTCTTTTGCTGCCTTATTAGTCATAACTTTGTGTAATTTTGGTGATTGCTTTAGAGTATATAGTATGCATGTTTACTTTGTCGCAGTCTGCTTTCCAGTGATACTGTACTACTTCTTGTACACTGTAAGAACCTTAAAATAGTATATTTTTATTTTCCCCCTACCTACCTTTGGGTTATTAATGTCCTACCTTTTACTTCTAGTTATGTAATACACTTCACAGTACTTTGTTACTACTTTTAGTTTAAACAGAGGTCTTTTAAAAAGATTTAGCATAGGAATGGGGTGCCTGGGTGGCACAATTGGTTAAGCATCTGACTTTTTCTTTCTTAATAAAGTTTAAAAAAATTTTTTTTTATTTTTTTTATTTATTTCTGAGAGAGAGAGACAGCGTGAGTAGGGGAGGGTCAGAGGGAAAGGAAGATACAGAATCTGAAACAAACTCCAGGCTCTGAGCTGGCTATCAACACAGAGCCCAAAGCAGGACTCAAACTCATGAACCATGAGATCATGACCTGAGCCGAAGTCGGACTCTTAACTGACTGAGCCACCCAGGCACCCCAAGCATCTGACTCTTGATCTTGGCTAAGGTCATGACCTCACAGATTTTGAGTTCGAGCTCCACGTTGGGCTGTGTGCTGATGGCATAGGGCCTGCTTGGGATTCTGTCTCCCCTTTTCTCTGCCCCTCCCCTTCTTTTGCTCACCCACACACTCTCTCTCTTTTCTGAATAAATAAATAAACTTAAAAAAAGATTTAATATGGGAAAAAGTCTTTTATAATTATTTTTCTATAGATTGATTTGCATAGGGTATTGTTTTCCTCTTGCCTGGACTTCTTTAAACTTTTTTTTTAGTTGGCTGGTGATGAATTCTTTCAACTTTTATGTGTATGAAAAAGTTTATTTCAGAAAGATATTTTTGCCAGGTAAAGGATTCTAGGTTGACACTACTTTTCTTTCAATGCTGTAAAGGTTATTTCTTTACTGTCTTCTGGCTTCACTGGTTCAGAGGAGAAATCTCCTTTCTTCTTCCTTAATATTGTGGGGCTTTTTCTCCCTAGCTCCTTTTTAATATTTTCCCATTATTACTCTTCAAGGAATTTGGCTTTGACGTGCTTTGATGTAGTTTTATTGTTTCTTGTGCTTGGCGTTTGCTGAGTTTTCTTGAAAGTATGAATTTATAGTTTATATTAAATTTGGAAATTTTAATTCTTTAAAATGTTTTTTTCTCTTTTCGTCCTTTCTCTTTTCCTTTGTGGACTCCAATTACACATACATCAAGGTGCTTGGAACTTACACAGCTCACTGATGCTCAGTTATTTATTTATTTATTTATGGTCCTTTTTTTCTCTTTTAGTTTGGATAGGTTCTATTGCTTTTTCTTCAAATTCACCAATGTTTTCTTTACTGTATAATCTGTTAATCGTACCCAGCATAGGTTTAAAAATTTTTTTTTTTAAATTTTAATTTTAAATAATTTCTATAGCCAATGTGGGGCTTGAACTCACAACCCCAAGATTAAGAGTCCCATGCTTCTCCAACTAAGCCAAGCAGCCTAGCCACCCCTCCAGTATGTTTTTCATCTCAGATAATTGTAGTTGTCATTTCTAAATGTTTGTACTAATTTTATCATCTCTGTCATTTATGCAGTCAATTGATTTCCCTCCTCATTATAGATCATATTGTCCTATTTCTTTGAGTGCTAATAATTCTTAATCGAATACCAGACATTATAAATTTTACCTTTTTGGGTGCTCGATATTTCTGTATTCTTATGAATATGTTTAAACTTCGTTTTTTGACATGGTTGAGTTAATTGGAAGCAGTTTGGTCCTGTCAGGTCTTTTAACTTTTGCTAGACAGGATGAAAGCAATATTTAGTCTTGATGATTTTGCCCCATTACAGACACAATATCCTTCCACCTGTACTCTGCTCAATATTATGTAAATGATGAGGTTTTCCATTCTGGCTGCTTGGGACAGGAACTCTTCCCAACCTGTATGAGCTTTAGAGATTATTCTCTTTTAAATCTTTGGTTGATTCTTTTTCAGGCTTCAGATGGGTTTCCTCACCCATGTGTACTAATCATTATACAAATGAAGATTAGAGGGTTCACCTTCTGCACATCTCCCTAATTAAAAAAAAATGTTAAGAAGTAGACTTTTGTGAATGTTGTTTGAGATTTTTAAAAATTGGAATTTCCTTAACACCTCAACAATTTAAAAAAGACCTCAACGATAAATAAACAAATTTTATTTTCCTTGCTTTATTGGATGGACCATAATTATAGTAAAACTCAAGTTGAAGTCTTGTTTTAATGCCATGACTATACTGATTTCTCTTAATTCACCATAGAATACAAATTTCTTATCTGAGTGTTATTTAAATACATGTAAGATATATTTCTTGTCCTCCTCCCAACCACTACTCCACAAAAATTATTGATGTTCCATTGTAATTCTCACTTTCAAAATTTCTCCCATTTTGGTCCACAAAATAGTCTGGATTTGCTACATAAGTCTTTTTTTGTTAAAAGAAAAAATCCTCTTGGTATGTCTAGATTTAATTATAATAGTCTAACAAATAACTTCTCTCAATTTAGTTTTATGCTTTAGTAAGATTTTAACTAGAGGGGCACCTGGGTGGTTCAGTCAGCTAAATGTCTGACTCTTGATTTAGGCTCAGGTCATGATATCACGGTTTGTGCATTCAAGGCCCACGTCAGGCTCTGCACTGACAGTACAGAGTCTGCTTGGGATTCTTTCTCTCTGCACCTCCTTCCCACCTTCCCCCCATGCTCACACCCTTTCTCTCTCATAATAAATAAATTAAAAAAAAAAAAAAAAGATTTGCAAATACCAGTACTTTTGTTCTGTAAACAGTGTTTGGAAATCATGATTACTTTAAAATCTTACGGACCTAAATATATATTCAAAAGAACTGGAAATTGATACATAAATACAATGTACATATGTGTTCATAGAAGCACTATTCACAATAGCCAAAAGGTGGACATAGTCCAGACATCCATCAATTGTGATGAATTGTGATAAAAAGATACAATGGAAACAGACATGGTACAACATGGATGAAATGGGAAATATTATGTTAAATGAAAGAAGCCAGACACATTAGGTTATATGTTGTATGATTCTATATATATGGCATATCCAAATAGATAAATATGTGGAGACAGAACCCAGATTGGTGGTTGCCTTGTTGACTTAATGTTGTAAGTGATATCAAGAGTTGGGCACTGAACTGACTGAGCCACCCAGGCACTTCTATAGTGCTTTTTTTTTTAAATATTTTATTTTGGGGGCACCTAGGTGACTCGGTTGGTTGACCATCTGACTCTAGATTTTGGCTCAGGTAATGATCCCAGGGTTGTGGGATTGAGCCCTGTGTCAGGCTCCACATTGAGTATGGTGCCTGTTTGAGATTCTCTCCCTCAGCCCCTCTGCCCCGCTTGTGTGTGCATGCAGGCGCGCTCTCTTTCTCTCTCTCTCTCTCAAATTAAAAAAAAAATTATTTTTAAGTAATCTCCACCCCCCACCTGAGGTTCAAACTTACAGCCCTGATATCAAGAGTTACATGTTCCAGGGCACCTGGCTGGCTCAGTTGGTTAAGCATCTGACTCTGACTCAGGTCATGATCTCCTGGTTTGTGAGTTCGAGACCTCGCATCAGGCTCTGTGCTGAAAGATCATAGCCTGGAACCTGCTTCTGATTCTGTGTCTCCCTCTCTCTTTGCCTTTCCCCTGCTTGTGGTCTGTCTGTCTGTCTGTCTGTCTCTCTCTCAAAAAAAATAATAAACATTAAAAAACTTAAAGTAAAACTTGCACGTTGCACCAACTGAGCCAGCCAGGTGCCCCATGCTCACCTTACTTTAGATGTTTATTCTAATGAGGTGAAATGCTTATTTTTTCCCCTAGTCCATAGTCTTTAATACCAGCTGAAAGATAATTGTAGAAAAATTTAAAAGCATGATATAGTCAGAAATCAAACACTCATTACTTGTATTTCTTCCCCCCTTGGTTGAGCTTAGTGTGTTGATTACAATTAAAGAGTTGCTGGGACGCATGGGTGGCTCAGTGGGCTGAGTGTCCGCCTCTTGATCTCAGCATAGGTCATAATCTCACAGTTTAAGCTTGAGCCCCGTGTCGGGCTCTGCCCTGACAGCAAGGAGCCTATTTGGGATTCTCTCCTCCTCTCTCTCTGCCCCTCCCCTGCTCATGTGCACACAAGAGTGCAACCACATGCACTCACTCTCAAAAGGAAACATTAAAAAAAAAAAGTTGCTTACTTTACACATTTTGAGATCTATATTAGTTGAAAATTAATATATTTTCACAAATCTGTTGTCTAGGTCTCTTCTAGAATCTAGGATTGAAGTTAGTTTTTATTGGTAGTCATGCTTAATTGTTTGGGAGTGAAATATATGATCTGTCTGGATAGAAATTACCGTATGAAATTATTTTTTCTAAATTGACATAGTTTAGAAAGGTAAGTATAATTTTTCAGTATATTTACCATATTCAATATATTTAAATAGATAATTATATCAGGAAATTTGCAAGCTAGAGTTTTTCTAATTTTTTAAAACATCAAATGACAGTAAATAGATACTAATATTAAGCTACTAAACTGATTTTATTTTCTAGAATTCAGCATACAATTGAAATAAAATGTCAACCTCCTGGAGCGATCGGTTACAGAATGCAGCAGATATGCCTGCTAACATGGATAAGCATGCCCTGAAAAAGTATCGGCGAGAAGCCTATCATCGGTAAGTATTTTGTCTATTTAATCTTCAAAATAGCTCTATAAAGTGGGCACATATTGTCTTCATTTTACAGATGTTGAAATTAACGTGTGGAGAAGTTAGGCAGTTTGCATAGATTATATAGTTAGCTCATGGTTCAAAATTTTTTTAATGTTTTATTTATTTCTGAGAGAGGGGCAGAGAGAGAGAGAGAGAGAGAGAGACAGCGTGAGCAGGGGAGGGTCAGAGAGAGGAAAATACAGAATCTGAAACAGGCTCCAGGCTCTGAGCTAGCTGTCAGCACAGAGCCCGACACAGGGCTTGTACTCATGAACTGTGAGATCATGACCTGAACCGAAGTCGGATGCTTAACCGACTGAGCCACCCAAGGCGCCCCAGTTAGCTCATGGTTCAAACCCAGTCCAGAGTCTAGACTTTTAAGCACTGGTATACCATACTCCTGCTGCTGTTTTAAAAGGAAATTTCTTTCAGTTTCTTATATCTACTAATACCCTTAAGTGAAGAAAGTCGTCAGCTGCTAGAACATTGTACCTTAGTTAACATTTTTCAATTTATCTTTGAGCGAGAGAGAGGGTGGGCAGAGAGGGAGACACAGAATCCAAAGCAGGCTCCAGGCTCCAAGCTGTCAGCACAGAGCCGGAGGCAGGACTTGAACCTATGAACCGTGAGAACATGACCTGAGCCGAAGTCAGATGCTCAACCAACTGCCTGAGCCACCCAGGTGCTCTGTACCTTAGTTAATAAGAATGAAATTCTAGGCGTGCCTGGGTGGCTTAGTTGGTTGAGCTTCCGACTTTGGCTCAGGTCAGTGAGTTTGAGCCCTGCATTGGGTTCTCTGCTTTCGGTGTAGAACCCACTTTGGGTTTTCTGTCCCTTTCCTACTTGTGTGGATGCTCTCTCTCTCTCAAAAATGAATAAAAACATTTAAAAATCAGAGTGAAATTCTTATTTGACATTTGCCACAAACTGATTTTAATTTTTAAATATTTTAAAATTGTGTCTACTGCCTACTATGTATTAGCTTGAATGTGTTAATGCTGAGTATTAGCAACATTTTCTTATCTTAAGACTTTAATATTTTCTCTAAATCCTTTTAAAAATCCTGTAAAAGTTTAAAATGTAAGTATTTTTAAATGCTATTTTTAATAGATTCAAATCTTCAGTAGCTAAGATATGTAGAAGTTAAGTATTGCATCTAGAAATCATTTGTTTTTAGACAGAAATTAGAAGTTTACATTTTCCATAAATTCATAAGATAGACCTGGTCCCTACTAGCACTATCTGGCTTCCCATCTTCGGTAAGCAAGGTATAAGTAGAAATGCTGGTGTACTGGCAGTGCTAAGAAGTTGCATGGGAACTCCAGGAACCTACAACACATAATTAACTCATTTGTTTCTAGGCTGGAAGAAAGAGGAAATATATAGATGTTTTATACTTATTCAATTATTTGCTTACTCTTGATGCTGCATGCATTTGGTTATGCTGTAACATGTTTGTCAGTAGAAACAAGAGCTATAATTGTGCAATGAAGAGAGATCATCTAGAAAATATCACATGTCCTAATTGTATGCAATATGTCATACATAGCCTGAGTGCTTCTGACTCATTTAGAATGATATTTCCTGTAAGATTGTAGATTGGTTCTGCATCTTGTAGTCTTCATATAGTAGAATACAATCTGAAATAATAGAAACAAGAGAAAAAACGTCTTCAAGGATTTGAATTTTTAGATCATTTAAAACATTTTTTTCCTTTTTTTATTGTGGTAAAGTATACATATCACATATTTTCTGTCTTAACTGTTAAGCATATAGTTCAGTGGTTTTAAGTACATTCACACTGTTGTGCAGCCATCATCAGTATCCATCCCCATAACTTCATTTTGTAAAATTGATATTGTACCTGTTAAATAACTCCTCATTCTTCCCTCCTCCAGCCCCTGGCAACCACCATTAGATGGTCTGTCTTTATAATTTTGAATACTCTAAGTACTTAAGTACTCGTATAAGTACAATCATACAGTGTGTCTTTTCACAACAGACTTACTTTAGTTAACATAGTGTTCTCAAGGTTTATCCATGTGGTAGCATGTTGCAGATTTTCCTTTTAATGTAAACTGGATTCTTGAATTCTTGCAAGTATTTGCTTTTGTTAATTAAAAAATTTTAATAGAAGTCATTGAAAAGGAATTTATTTTAGTTTTCTAGTTAAGTCAGTTTGTAAGATAGTCTGTTTTTAGGGCTTTTTCTTAAAAACATTTATTGGAGTTGGTAGTTTATCATTTGTTAAATTAGGTAGACTCTGATGATCATTTATCATAAACACTGCACTGTATGTTATGCTTTAGAATTCTCTTTTTAGAGGAAGCTAAATAGTTAAGTAAATACACATCTAGCTTTTGGCTTTTTTCTTGCTAATATTAGTCCTAAAAATGATGGTCATGAGTCAGTTTTAAGAAACTGGCTTTCAGAATGTATGACTGTTGTATGTCTTTCATTTCCTTATTATGGTTACTGAGTCTTCTAGGCTGAAGATAATTATCAAGCCAAACCCTTCATTGGAATAGTTTTGCTGTTTGGTCAGAAGATAGGCTGGGTTGCTCAGATGTTACAGTGGCTTGAAGGAGGCAAGTTAGACAACTACCTCTTAAGTAGTTCCTTGTTTAACACCTAGAATCTGATAGTGATCAGTATAGATCACAATTTTTATCTCTCAAACCCAAGAATGGAACAATTAGATTTTTCGCCTTCTCTTGACGTTGACTGTGCCCAGGATGCTGAAGTCAGGTATTTTTTTTTTCCTTTTAAATTTTGATGATTATAGTACAGAATTTCTGTAAGTTGGTTCTTTATGACTACAGCTTATGAATTCAGCATTGGTTTTATCATGTTGAACTGAAGTCTGATAAATAATTGGGCCTGTGAGGTTTTGGCTAAGTGGTCTTTTGCCTTATTTTAAAAGACATTGAAATCACTTTTTCTTGGGGCTCCTGGGTGGCTTAGTCGGTTAAGCGTCCCGACTTTCGCTTGGGTCATGATCTCGCGGTTCGTGGGTTCGAGCCCCGCGTCGGGCTCTGTGCTGACTGCCAGCTCAGAGCCTGGAGCCTGTTTCAGAGTCTGTCACTCCCTCTCTCTCTGACCCTCCCCTGCTCAAGCTGTCTCTCTCTCTCTCTCCTAGAAATAAATAAAAAAACATAAAAAAAAAAAGAATGAAATCACTTTTTCTTTAAGTTCTTTATATATTTTTTCAAAATGATTTTTTTAAATTCAAATTTAGGTCTCCAAAGGCATACCAGTGCTTATTGAAACCTAATTTCTCCTCTGATCAAAGTTAAATTATAATATATGTTTAAGGAGTAAAAAGATATTTGTGTACCTATATAAAATTATTTTGTAGTACCTGTCGCTTGGCACACCAGTAGAATTAGAAGTGTTGATGATTTTTTTAAACTGCAAGTTAAAAACAAGTATTAGGTTTTATACAGAGAGAAACTGCCAGGTTGACAAATTTTAATTTCTTTCTCAACTAACCACTTAGTGATATCACATGACTGTCATTCAGCTCTTTAGTTGTATAGTTGATTAAATGGAATTAACCTGTCATTTTAGTATGGGTTTTAATATTCAAGTGGATAAATTGTTAAGATTTCAATAGCCATCTTATGAATTGAAAATCACATGGAAGAGATAGGTCCTCAGAAATGTCAAAGAGCTGTGTTCCTTAAATAATGTACAGATGGCATATATCTTGTCAGAATAAGGATGAGGTAGAGTTAACAGAACTGTGTTAAACTTTTTTTCATTGGTATATCATTCTGATGCTTTGAATAGTGTTTCATATTTGTAGGGAATGGCAGATAAATATTCAGGGACTGGGAAGGGCTTTTTTAACCCTATTTTTTTTTTTTTTTTGGCCTAATGGAAGTGTCTCTTCCATGAGAAAAGGAAGAGCAATCTTTCTATGTTGTGTGTCTTGACTCTAGTGATGATTACATGAAGCTACACACACGAGTGCATGTAAATCTGGTGAAATCTGGTTAAAGTTGGTGAATTGTGCCAATTATCAGCTCCCTGGTTGTGATATTGTACTGTATTTATGCAGGCTTCTCCTTGGTGGAAACTAGGTGAATGGTATAGGGGAATCTTTCTGTGTTATTTTGTACTACTACATATGAATCTAGAATTATCTCAACATGAACAGTTTAAAAAAACTTTGAGTGACATACCTTTTTTTTTCACATCATAGGTATTCCTGGTCTCTTCTAGGTATAAATGCTCTTTATAATGTGTGGTGATCCTACTTTATGGAATACAAATTCTCTAAACTTTATTGTTCAAAAGACAATACTGGATCCTAAAACATTCTCAATTTGTTTCTCTGCCACCATTCCCTTTATGCTTCTTCCAAAAACCTACCTAAAAGTAAAATAGAAAAGTGGTGGTGGCGGCGGCAAGGAAGAGAGAGAATAAGAGATAGCAGATCTTTGATTTAATGAAATCCATTAAAAGAAACTCCATTTGAGGAAATGTTACTCATATTTAGATAGCATATTTCACCTTTAAGGACTCTTGTGTATGGCTTCTTTTATTCAAAGTAATGTCTGAGAGATTTCATCCATATTTTTGTGTGTATCAGTAATTTGTTCTTTTTTATTACTATGTTGCATTCCATTGTATCAGTATACCACAGTTTGTTCATCTATTTTCTTTTTATGGACCTTAGGGCTTTTTTTGGTTTTTAGCTATCAAGGATAAGGCTGCTACAGACTGAGAAAATATTTGTAAATCATGCATCTGTTAAAGACTTCTTTCCACAATGTATAAAGAACTTAACAATTGAACCCAATGAAGAAATGGGCAAAAGACGGATACTTCACTACAGAGGATATATGGATGGCATAAAAACACAATAACCATTAGCTCCAACAGTTTTGTTTTGTGTGTGTGTGTGTGTGTGTGTGTGTGGATTTTTAAGTAATTCTACCGTCTGCAAATAAGGATAG